AAAAGCCTTCCTGCAGGGAAAATCTCTTAAAAGAGATGTATTTGTAAAACCACCAAAAATGGATTAGGCGATGCATCCCTGTATTGGTACAATACAGTGAAATCAGTTATGATTGAACTTGGTGCAAACATTTCTAAAATAGACCCAGCTGTGTTTTATTGGACTGGTGAGAAGGGCGAACTGAAAGGTGTGTTAGCATGTCATGTTGATCATTTCATCTGGGGAGGTATTCCTGAATTCGAGAGTGACATCATTACTAAACTTCGTAAGTTCGTGAGAGATTTGCTTATGGCAAGGAAGAGAAGAACGGCATTTAAATATGTAGGCATAGACTTGGAATTTTAGTGATGGCAATATATTTTTTAAATCAGAATAATTACGCTAAAAGCCTCACACCAATCAAGATTCCAAATAACAAATTACAACAGAAGGAATCCTCACTAACACGGATGAGATAACTACATTGTGCTCTAAAATTGGTCAGATTCTATGGATAAGTCATCAGAGTCGTCCGGATTTGATATTTGATGCATTTTGTCTTGCTTCACGGGTAAAAGATGCCAAAGTGAAAGATTTGTTAGATGTAAACAAACTGATCAAACGTGTTAAATCAGAATTTACAGGATGGGGGCATGCAAGGTGGACATTTAATTCTTTTAAAAGGAAAAGGAAGAAAGTTTACACCAATATCCTGGAATTCTAAAAGAATTAGATGTGTCGTTCGCAGTACACTTTCTTGAGAGACACTAGCAATGGCGGATGCCGTTGACACTGGAATTTTTATCTTAATTTTATATTCTGAACTAGTAACTGGTTGTACAGATCCAACAAAATTACCTTTAGTTTGTGTTACTGACAATAAATCTTTATTATAAGCCATTAAATCTACAAAATGTGTGACCGAGAAAAGACTTTGACTAGAAATTACCGGAATCAAGGAAATGGTGAAATACAATCAAATCAAAGAAATTATTTGGTCCGAAACAAAAAGTCAATTAGCTGATTGTCTAACTAAACATGGATCATCAGCTCTTGTACTCATGAAAACATTACAAGACGGTGTTTTGAAACTCAAAATTTAATAGTGATGCAAAGTGTAAACTTTCTATTTTAAACTCAAATGGTTCAACTAGCGTTCCAAGTAGAATGTGTTCAACTATTTATTTCATAGTGTTAAACTTACAATTTTTATTTACCTTACTTTAATTAAAAACTTTTATTTAAAGAGACAGAGTGAAGATTGATAACATCTAGTTTTATTTGGAGTGGTTTCCCTTGAAAAAGTTCTGAGTGGAGCTTGACTTTGTTTTTGTAATGGAAAGGTCATTTCATTAAAATGTGTTGACAAGACAAAGAGTCTTAATTATTGAGTTATTATAACGTCCTACTGTTGTGCTCTGACTGGGCTAATGAAGACAGGAATGGTAAATGGGCAGTAAGTAATGACAATAACATTCTGAAAAATGGACCCTCCCTCAATCAAGTTAGGTGACAAACATGGCTTAATTAGTTTGGATATGTTTTTACTCCAAATATATCATCAAAGCACACGCCGGAAGGTATCTTTAATATATTTTTGAATTTGCCCAGGTTTCAAAAGTTAGGTACAACGTTGTATCATCTGCAAATAAACATATATTAGAGATATAGATAATATTTTCAGTACTATCATTGATATAAATAAGGAAAAAACGTGAATCCAATACTAATCCTTATATAGGGAACACCTGCGATTGTATTATTCAGATTAGAGCTGCCGCCTTTAATAATGACTGGTTGTTTTCTGTCTATACTAGTTTCCCTCGAATACCGAAACAACTCAGTTAGGTGTTCATCAGACAGTCGTATATGCTTCAGTTGCTATGTATGCAATTTAATAGATAGCATATTGTGTGTGACCTTTGATAGTTCATTCCATATAGCAGAATTTAAAAAATCCATGGCTTTTCAATTTTTACTGAGAAGAAATGAAAAGAGGTACATCCAATTTTATTTCACTTATATAATCTAGGAACCATATCCTGGAACTTGAAGGCAATATTGCCGTTTGATCCCCTTGACCCCCTGTAGCTTATATGATTACATGTCATTTGGGACTCACGTCATTTGGGACTCAAAAAAATATGACCACGACATTTGGGACTCGGGTATACGTCGTTTGGGACTCGGGTTTACGACGTTTGGGACTCGGGATAATTTATTAGAAATAAGCCAATTCAAAACACGAAAGAAAATATTTATGAACATGAAACACGTGGTTAGTAAAAGGCTCAACCAAACGATAAAACATTAGTTGCACTTACGGTTCTTTGATAATCATCTTTGATAATCATCAGTTCTCATAAAAGTTATAAATTTATTTAAAACGAATAATATGCTGATGAATTTATTTGAAAATGACCTACACAAAAAACAAAATAAATATTTACATGACATGCAATCTTTTTTTTACAAGCCCCTAGAAATTGTTAACGATAATCCGTGAGCTGCACGTTGACATGCTTGTCGTAGATGGCAACACCAATCGATAAATTAGTTCGTACAAGGCAAAGTTTTTTTGTGGAAAATATAAGAAATGGCAACGATCAAAGCGGGATAATTAAAGCTGATTAACTGATAATCCCAATGTTATTACAGTATGTTCAAAAAAACCTAACGGTTCTTTGGTGGATGAGGAAAAACGTGAGTTGTCAATCATCGAGAATGGCGGCCGTGTGTTGATTGCAGTTATACCGTTTCACGAAAAAACATTATCAGTGGTCGGTCAATCAAGCTCGTTTACTATTTGATAAAAGAAAAACTCGAATAAAACTCGAATAAAACAAAACAAAGGAGAACTAGCAGTGTTAATCGCGGTCTCAACAATCGCCGATCAACTAGTAAATAAAACGAAAGACAACTAAGACAGCTGTTACTATATATCTCATAAATAAATAGTCCCAACTGTCGTTTATATTGAGTCCCAACTGTCGTTTATATTGAGTCCCAAATGTCGTTTGTGTTGAGTCCCAATTGACACCAATCAAGTCCCAAACGTCGTCAACTGAGTCCCAAATGTCATTTATGTTGAGTCCCAAATGACGTGAGTCCCAAATGACGTGATACCGCTTATATACTATTCAAAAAAAGTAGGGGATATTTGATTTTGGGGGCATAATACTAAAATATGCAAATGACTACGAAAAAAGTCACTATAGAACCTAACAGAAGAAACATTTCCAGTTACATGTGACGCCCAAACGCACCAATAGCTACCGCATGGAATACAGGTGATGCTTGGGATCATCATGGGGGTCCAACCCAAGATTTGCACGACTCTGACTTTGAATGTTACAGTCATTGTGGCATTGAATTCCAGGGTGGAAACATCAGTTTAATTGTTTTAGTGACCAGAAAACAAATTTTGATATGCGTCGGCTTACCCAAAATGAAAGGTTACGTGCCCTTGGCATGCTACAGATCGGCACAACACAGGCGGTTGTGGCGCGGATGATGAATGTTTCTCAGTCTGTCATAAGCAGGCTATGGTCCAGATACCGTGATACACATTCTGTACAGGACAGACCACGCTCAGGTCGACCAAGGGCGACAACTCAAGCCCAGGATCGATTTATCCGTACCTTGGCCTTGAGAAATCGTGTCATCACAGCAATTCAGATCAGCACTCGTCTTCAAACAGACACTGGTGTGAGAGTGAGTGGCCAGACGATTCGGAATCGACTGCATAGGGGTCACCTTCGCGCCCGACGTCCTCGCGTGATCCCTTGTTTGAGAGATCATCACATTCAGGCAAGACGTCGTTGGTGTAGGGATCGTCAACACTGGGATAATCGACGCTGGAGCAATGTGATGTTTTCAGATGAGTCAAGGTTCACTGTTGATTTTTTGGACAGACGTAGGAGGGTGTGGCGTCGTCGAAACGAGCGCTTCCAAGACGTTAACGTCATCAGACATGATCGATTTGGGGGTGGTTCTGTTATGGTGTGGGGAGGCATCACTGTTGCTGGAAGAACGGCTTTACATGTTGTTGCAGGGCGTGTTACAGGCCAGTACTACCGGGACAACATCTTGGCAGTCCATGTTGTGCCGTTCGCACGACGTCATGGCCGCCGTTTCATCTTCCAGGATGACAACGCAAGATGTCACAGGGCCAGGATCGTTACAGGTTACCTCCAACAACAGAACATCACCACATTACCTTGGCCAGCACTGAGTCCCGACCTCTCCCCCATCGAGCATGTCTGGGACATGCTTGGACAGAGGCTACGTCAACGTCAACAACGTCCTGCCAATGTCCAAGAACTTGCTGCTGCGTTGCAACAGGAATGGGACAATCTGGACCAAAATGACCTTAGACGTCTCATTAGGAGTATGGCACGTCGGATCAATGCTTGTTTGGCAAACAGAGGAGGATTTACCCGTTACTGACTTGGTTGTGATGCTGTGGTAACTTTGCTGTTTGACCCCGGGTATCATTTTACCCTTATAATGGTCAGTCTGTGCCTTACTTAGTCTAACGATCATTTGGAATAAATCGATGAATGTGAACTTCATTTCATTTTGTCATTTGTTTATTCGTCAGTTTCTTTAGGTGTCTTTAATAACACTTAAAAATCAAATATCCCCTACTTTTTTTGAATAGTATATACCGGTAGGTTTAAACATGACATAGGTTCTCAGTGTTTAAACACTTGTCATACTGGAAGATGTTAACATTAGACTAGTGTATCAACTCCCTGAAAGAATTCATCCCAAAATTTAAACCTACCACAGAATGAGCACTTGAATTTACTCTCCAATATGAGCAAGGAAACTGTCTAAAATGTGCTCTCTGAGGCATAAAATGGGGAAAAATCAATTTCTGAGGTACTATTGGGTTCTGAGGTCTGTCAACGTATTTCTGTTTTTCGGGCATAGTAATCATACTCTGCCCTGTGCATGACTTGAAAGTTTATTAATTACAGATTTATTATTAGTAAAATTAAATATATACTTTATAGGTAATATGAAAGCTGTGACAGATGGATTAAAGTTATTAAATCAAGCTGACCCTTGTGTTATAGTTAGTGTACAGGAAACGGGTGAACATGTTATAATAACAGCTGGTGAAGTACATTTACAAAGATGTATTGATGATCTACAAGAAAGGTAAATATAACATTGTTTCATTAAACCTTGGTATCCAATATTGATACCAATATAAAGGTTATCTCAAGTACTGTGGCCATGACGACTGAAATCCAGGCCCATACTATTATTCCAGTTAGATATTAGTGTTTGGTGTAATAAATGAGACAGGGCAATATTCTTCTTTCTAGAACATCCGGCCGGTATTACTTATCATTTGAGTAGTTTACATAGCTGACAGAATTTTATTGTACTTAATTCTACACCTTTTCTGTTATTCCTATTTTTATATGCCCACATTGAAATGTGGTCGTATAATGTCGTCATCCCCGTCCGTCCGCCGGTCCGGCGTCCACAAGCAATTGTGGACGCTCTAGAGGCTAAAGTTAATATCTGATTGACTTTAAATTTATACACAGTGCTTAAGGTCTTGAGACGAAGAAGCCTATTGATTTTCAGCGATTTCCGATAATTACTGCCAGAGTTATGGCCCTTGATCACTTTGAAAAATCTTGTGGACGCTCTAGAGGCCAAATTTAAAATCCGATTAACTGTAAATTTATACACAGTGTTTAAGGTCATGAGACGAAAAAGCCTATTGATTTTTAGCGATTTCCAATAATTACTGCCAGAGTTATGGCCCTTGATCCCTTTGAAAAATCTTGTGGACGCTCTAGAAGCCAAAGTTAATATCTGATTGACTTTAAATTTATACACAGTGTTTAAGTTCATGAGACGAAAAAGCCTATTGATTTTCAGCGATTTCCAATAATTACTGCCAGAGTTATGGCCCTTGATCACTTCAAGAAATCTTGTGGACGCTCTAGAGGCCAAAGTTAATATACGATTGACCATAAATTTATACACAGTGTTTAAGGTCATGAGACGAAGAATCCTATTGATTATTCCAATGTGTTGATATTTTCTCAGTGTTTAATGACCTGTCTAACATTTTACTTTTACATTTACCTGTCTATAAAACGTTTTATGTATATTTGTCTATATATACTCACCTATGTGTGCTTATTGTGTGCTTATTATATATCTTTCCCTTTTTTTCTTCACCTATGTGTGCTTATTGTGTGTTTGCAGACTAAAGTAATACCATAATGACCTCGCAAAAACCTAAAGCAACTCGCTCTTTTGTGCGAAAACAATTTGGGGAGGAATTGTATATAGAAACAGCTGGAATTGCCAGTGGAGTCTTACCTTTCAATAAAGAGTCCAGTGGCAAATCCATCTGTTTCTATATACAATTCCTCCCCTAAATGTTTTTATGCCAAAGAGCGAGTTTCTTTAGGTTTTGGCAAGGTCCTTACGGTACTTTAGTTTGCAAGCACAAATATGTGAGAATATAGACAAACATAGCCTACATATAGACAAAATATAGGTGAGTATGTGGATAAGTACACATAAAATGTTTTCAAGAAAATGTAACGGTAAATGTTAGACAGGTCACTAATAACTGAAAAAATATCAACACGTATGAAATTTGTGAAAATATTGTCGCCATCTTGGATTTACGCTATTTTGGATTTTTAAATCTTAAATTTAACATCACCAATGAACTCACCGACCTGAAAACCCTAGCATAGAGTCAAGATGAGGTTTATACAGGAAAAATAATGAAGATTTTTAATGAAATCTAAATTATCACTCTCAGTTTAACCTCCACTATCTTCAGGGGGTGTGTACAGGGGGATAAGAAAGAAATATGTTCATACATGGGTAGGGTAACTACAACTTTTGGGGGGGCCCCGAAAAAATTCATATTTAACACCACTGCACCAGCCCCTATTATAATCATCTTAACAATACTACTACTACTCTCAAGCCAAATATTAATATAGTTCAAAGCAGTATACGCTCTTTAAAGGACCCAAACTGTGGAATTTGTTACTGCGGTCCTTGAAAATCCTTGAATATCCTTAAATTTAAAATTTCATTTTCAAGGTCTTGAATATCCTTGAATTTCGCGGAAATAGGAAAATATCCTTGAATTTCAGTTGAGATCCTTAATTTTGTTTCAAATGTCTTCAATTCCTTTTAAATATGAGATTATAACGATAGTTGGAAATGTTTTGGTTATTTTTAACATGAAAAATTGTAACTTTAGGCTAAAAAATGTCCTTGAAAATCCTTGAATTTGACGTATATTTATCCTTGAATATCCTTGAAAAAATGTTTGACGAAGCCGCGGGAACCCTGAAAAACTTTAAATAACCAAAATTAAAAACCTATAAGGAGATCTCTTATGATATGTGTTCTGTACATGTATATCTCCATATTATAAACATGTACATATTGTATATTTGTTAATACATGTTATATCTATATGTATTCAAACTTTCTGTTATATGACCCGCATATACATGCATGTACTCCAAAGATCTTGATTCCTTTCGATATTCACGCATATCAGATCGTAACTTCCTCAATTATGGCCCTTTTTTAGCTTGTGGACACTCTTAGAGGTCACAATTTTTATCCGGTTTTGATGAAACTTGAAATGTATATGTATAACCCAAAGATCATGGTTCCTTTCTGTAGTCGCGCATATCGGACTGTAACTTCCTGGATTATGGCCCCTGATTGTACAAAAAATCGCATTTTTATCTTGTGGTTCTTCTAGAGGTCACAATTTTTATCCGATTTAAAAAAATGTTCAAATATATCACTGTTACACCATACTGACAATTGCTGTGGAATTCCGTGAAAATTGGACCAAAACTGCCTGACAAAATGGCCTCTCCTCGTACCCAAATATTATAAAAGTATGGTATATCAAGGTTGCAGGCCCTCTAAAGGTCACAATTTTGATCCTTTTTTATACGCCCACATTGAAATGTGGTCGTATATTGTCGTCGCCCCCGTCCGTCAGTCCGTCTGGCAGTCCGGCGTCCACAATTGCTTGTGGACGCTCTAGAGGCTAAAGTTAATATCTGATTGACTTTAAATTTATACATAGTGTTTAAGGTCTTGAGACGAAGAAGCCTATTGATTTTCAGCGATTTCCGATAATTACTGCCAGAGTTATGGCCCTTGATCACTTTAAAATCTTGTGGACGCTCTAGAGGCCAAAGTTAATATCCAATTGACCTTAAATTTATACACAGTGTTTGAGGTCATGAGATGAAGAAACCTATTGATTTTCAACGATTTCCGATAATTACTGCCAGAGTTATGGCCCTTGATCACTTCAAAAAATCTTGTGGATGCTCTAGAGGCTAAAGTTAACATCCGATTGACATTAAATTTATACACAGTGTTTAAGGTCATAAGATGATGAAGCCTATTGGTTTTCAGCGATTTCTGATAATTACTGCCAGAGTTATGGCCCTTGATAACTTCAAAAAATCTTGTGGATGCTCTAGAAGCGAAAGTTAATATTCGATTGACTTTAAATTTATACACAGTGTTTAAGGTCATGAGACGAAGAAGCCTATTGATTTTCAGCGATTTCCAATATTTGCTGCCAGAGTTATGGCCCTTGATCACTTTGAAAAATCTTGTGGACGCTCTAGAGGCCAAAGTTAATATCCGATTGACTTTCAATTTATACACAGTGTTTAAGGTCATGAGACGAAGAAGCCTATTGATTTTCAGCGATTTCCGATAATTACTGCCAGAGTTATGGCCCTTGATCACTTCAAAGAATCTTGTAGATGCTCTAGAGGCTAAAGTTAATATCCGATTGAGTTTAAATTTATACACAGTGTTTGAGGTCATGAGACGAAGATTCCTATTGATTTTCAACGATTTCCGATAATTACTGCCAAAGTTATGGCCCTTGATCACTTTGCAAAATCTTGTGATGCTCTTAAGGCTAAAGTTATAATCCGATTGACTTCAGATTGATACACAGAGTTTAAGATCTTGAGACGAACAAGTATATTGAGATTCAATGAATTTTTATGACTTAAACAGTTAAATCCATGATATTAAAAGCTTTGCATACAAAACGTTAGCATGGGGCAGAACTCTATAAAAACCAAACAAATTCTAATAGTTTTCTGATAATTACTTCGTGAGATGTTGCTCTTAATCAGATATAGTGTATTATAAATGTTTCATTACCGAAAAAAGTAAAAATATGCGACAACCCTTGTTGACTGCCCGGACGATTTAGTTGCTGTGGGCGTATGTTTCGTTGCCTGGCAACCTATCTTTCTGTTTGTATCACAAAGATCTCAGTTCTTTTCAATAATCGTGCATATCGAAACGTAACTTCCTGTATTATGGCCCCTTACTTTTCGAAAAATCACGTTTTTAGCTTGTGGACTCTCTAGAAGTCACAATTTGTATTCAATATTAAAAACATTTTAAATATATCAACGTTACAGCCTAATGATGGTTGAGTTCGAATTTCGTGAAAATCTGACCTAAACTGCCAGACAAAATCGTATGTACATGTAATACAAAGGTTGTGGAACCTCTAGAGGTCACAATATTTGTCTGATTTTGATGAACCTTGAAATATATGATTATATCCCAAAGATCTCAGCTTCTTTCGATATTCACACATTTCAGACCATAACTTCCTGGATTATAGCCTCTGATTGTATGAAAATCGGGGAGTGGGGTAAGAGCTTGTTCTCTATCCATCTCTTGCAAAGTGGGTGTATCTTGCATAGCAACCGCTGGTTAGATTTGCAATAAAAAAAATTGGATCCCCATGAAATGTATCCTTGAATTGATGGTTATTTTATTTAGAACCTCAGATTTTGAAGGAATATATCCTTAATTACTTTTATACCATTCTAAATTAAATGCTCTGATTTTCTTTCAGATACGCAAAAGTAGAAGTTTCAGTATCTAAACCCATTGTACCATTTCGGGAGACTGTAACCCTTCCTCCTAAAGTAGACATGGTTAATGAGGCTATTATTGACCAAAATCAACCAACAAAATCAAATCGCTTGAAACAGTTCGAAGATGATGATGAAGTGAAAGGGGAAGGAATCGTTGAAATATTTACGCCTGATAAAACTTGTCTTATTCGTATTCATTGTGTTCCTCTGCCTAAAGCAATAACAGAACTTCTAGTTGAACATTCAGATCTTTTAAAGGCTTTACATAAAACAAGTAAAACAGACGATACAGAAAATGTCTTAAACTCGACTGCTGTTCAAAATCTCATTGATTTTAAATCAAAAATAGAAAATAGTTTTAATCAAGAACACAAATCGTGGAAAGGTGCATGTAATCAAATATGGTCATTTGGTCCGAAGAAAACTGGTCCAAATATATTACTCAACCGAATACCAGATTATAACCGGCCATCTGTATGGAGCTGTTTAGATCCAGCGACCAATTCTCAGACAACATTTCAAGATTTAGACAGTTGCATTATCAATGGATTTCAAATGGCTACATTTGCAGGTCCAATGTGTGAGGAACCTATGCATGGTGTTTGTTTTATAATAGAAAAATGGGAATATTTAAACTCAACATCAAACAGACAAGTAGACGATAGATGTGAATCAAGTGCAGCCATTCCTAGAAAGAGAGAAGTATATGGTCCATTGTCCGGTCAGATTATGTCTATAGTGAAAGATGGATGTAGAAAATCATTTGAAACACAGCCTCAAAGATTGGTTGCTGCTATGTATAAATGTGAGATACAGGCTACAGCTGATGTTTTAGGTAAGTACAACAAAAATTTATTTTTTACAATTTATTATAGTATGTATCTGCAGGAGGGCCACACCAAACATAAACAAACCCCAGATGACAAATCCGCAGACAGATGCACAATATACACACATTACAAACAAATGTATATATCAGGTCAAGTGAATGGACCCAGGGGCCAGCTGTAAGTGTACACTGTACTGTACAGTCCACAGCCTGTATACAAACTTCTTAAAGGGGATACTTGAATGAAGATTTTGTAATTGAATTCTCTCAATCTCAAAAATAGTGACAATCACGGGAAAAGGGGTATATCAGGCTACAGCACATGCGTCGACTGAATAAGAAAATATCCCAACCAACCAAGCATGATCCTACTCACACCACCTCCCTTTATTTTTCTAAAAACATAGATGTACAAAAAACTATCATGAATGTGCTGATAATAGCCAAGTGCCATAAGGAACATATTTACAAAAATATATAAACAACTTGTTAAATCAGTAGATTTTATTATACATGATGTTAATTTTGTAGGTAAATTATATGAGGTATTGGGTAAAAGAAATGGACGTGTACTATCAGAAGAAATGAAAGAAGGAACTCAGTTATTTATTGTAGAAGCTACTCTACCAGTTGTTGAAAGTTTTGGTTTTGCTGATATTATGAGAAAAAGAACTAGTGGCCTTGCTAGTCCTCAACTTAAATTTAGTCATTGGGAGGTAAGATTTGTTTAGTTGGGGCATTTTAATTCACAGGCGTTCACTGATCTCCTTAGTAACCACTACAAAATATAAATGACTTTAATAAAAACATTTACTCAGGGAATGATGGGTTAATTTTGCATAATATCTCATTTAATTAAATGTTCATAGATAAATGATATTGCTTCAAAAATATTTTCTTCACAGCAATGAGGAACTGTCTGTAAATAACAAGTGGCATGAACCTGGATACAACCTGTACACTGTATGTGGACAGCTATATTTGCAATACTATTGAGAAACAAGATTACTTTATGTGTTTGTTTTAATTTTTTAGATAATCGATGTGGACCCATACTGGGTGCCTACCACAGAAGAAGAATATCTGCATTTTGGAGAAAAGGCTGACTCACAAAACTGTGCTTTGACTTACATGAATAATGTGAGAAAACGTAAAGGTTTGAAAGTTGAAGAAAAAATGGTTGAACATGGAGAAAAACAAAGAACTTTAACAAGAAATAAATAACAACATATTTTCAAATTTGCTGTTATTTGAGTAAAAATAAGTACTTTCATCAGAAAGAAAATAGTTGACTGTTTGACAATAAATAGTCCAAGTGGCATGCACAGCCAGAAAGGAACTTTTAATGTCTTCTTACGGTAATACTTCAAACAGGACTGAAAATCAACTCGATCCAATCCATTGAAGCTATTGCTAGTGTGCTCCACAGTGAATGTTCACCCTCAAGTTTCCAAGTGATTACACAACAGAGATGCAGTCTATTAACCTATAAATAGCCATCACACGTCATTAACTATACATATATCAAATAATATAGCCCTACAAAATCTAATGTTAACGATTCTGAATTATAGTATTACTAGCAGGATACCCGGCTTCGCTCGGGGGTCATAACTCCGAAACCGGAAGTGGTAGACTAACGCCACCTGGCTTATGTTACTCCCCGGTCCAAGCTACCCCTATACCCCAAATTTCAGACTCGGGGCAGACCTAGTGTAGCCGCCAACCCCGAACAGACCGGCTTCGCTCGGGGGTCATAACTCCGAAACCGGAAGTGGTAGACTAACGCCACCTGGCCTATGTTACTCCCCAGTCCGAGCTACCCCTATACCCCCAATTTCAGACTCGGGGCAGACCTAGTGTAGCTGCCAACCCCGAACAGACAGACAGACAGACGACAGTCACAAATATATACTATTCAAAAAAAGTAGGGGATATTTGATTTTGGGGGCATAATACTAGAATATGCAAATGACTACGAAAAAAGTCACTATAGAACCTAACAGAAGAAACATTTCCAGTTACATGTGACGCCCAAACGCACCAATAGCTACCGCATGGAATGCAGGTGATGCTTGGGATCATCATGGGGGTCCAACCCAAGATTTGCACGACTCTGACTTTGAATGTTACAGTCATTGTGGCATTGAATTCCAGGGTGGAAACATCAGTTTAATTGTTTTAGTGACCAGAAAACAAATTTTGATATGCGTCGGCTTACCCAAAATGAAAGGTTACGTGCCCTTGGCATGCTACAGATCGGCACAACACAGGCGGTTGTGGCGCGGACGATGAATGTTTCTCAGTCTGTCATAAGCAGGCTATGGTCCAGATACCGTGATACACAATCTGTACAGGACAGACCACGCTCAGGTCGACCAAGGGCGACAACTCAAGCCCAGGATCGATTTATCCGTACCTTGGCCTTGAGAAATCGTGTCATCACAGCAAATCAGATCAGCGCTCGTCATCAAACAGACACTGGTGTGAGAGTGAGTGGCCAGACGATTCGGAATCGACTGCATAGGAGTCACCTTCGCGCCCGACGTCCTCGCGTGATCCCTTGTTTGAGAGATCATCACATTCAGGCAAGACGTCGTTGGTGTAGGGATCGTCAACACTGGGATAATCGACGCTGGAGCAATGTGATGTTTTCAGATGAGTCAAGGTTCACTGTTGATTTTTTGGACAGACGTAGGAGGGTGTGGCGTCGTCGAAACGAGCGCTTCCAAGACGTTAACGTCATCAGACATGATCGATTTGGGGGTGGTTCTGTTATGGTGTGGGGAGGCATCACTGTTGCTGGAAGAACGGCTTTACATGTTGTTGCAGGGCGTGTTACAGGCCAGTACTACCGGGACAACATCTTGGCAGTCCATGTTGTGCCGTTCGCACGACGTCATGGCCGCCGTTTCATCTTCCAGGATGACAACGCAAGATGTCACAGGGCCAGGATCGTTACAGGTTACCTCCAACAACAGAACATCACCACATTACCTTGGCCAGCACTGAGTCCCGACCTCTCCCCCAATCGAGCATGTCTGGGACATGCTTGGACAGAGGTTACGTCAACGTCAACAACGTCCTGCCAATGTCCAAGAACTTGCTGCTGCGTTGCAACAGGAATGGGACAATCTGGACCAAAATGACCTTAGACGTCTCATTAGGAGTATGCCACGTCGGATCAATGCTTGTTTGGCAAACAGAGGAGGATTTACCCGTTACTGACTTGGTTGTGATGCTGTGGTAATTTTGCTGTTTGACCCCGGGTATCATTTTACCCTTATAATGGTCAGTCTGTGCCTTACTTAGTCTAACGATCATTTGGAATAAATCGATGAATGTGAACTTCATTTCATTTTGTCATTTGTTTCTTCGTCAGTTTCATTAGGTGACTTTAATAACACTTAAAAATCAAATATCCCCTACTTTTTTTGAATAGTATATATATAGATTTAGATTGTTTATCTGCTATCTTATCAACTATACTGTTAGGAGAGGCATCAGTTGGTTTAGTAGAATTTATATCTCCAAGATCGTGTCTTTACCAAATATAATAGTATTTTTCTGTTGCTTTTACAAGGTTCCTGAACCTTCGTTGACTTGCAGTGCTTGCAAGCTTCTAAATTCTGGTTTTTGTCCTAGCTTTCAGTAATGTGTATAAAATACTCTCAATAATCCAGGCCTGTCACGCAGCCAGTTGACTGGTTTAGCGCAACTAATTTCAGGCCAAGGGTTGTGAAATGAAATGAAATGGGGTTTAATGGCCTACTGAATGGTTGTGTGTGGTGTTGGGTTGCAGTCTATTTCTGTTACACTTTAAATGGTTATAACTTATTAAATGCAGCTCGACCATTTAGTTATGATAAATGGGGGGGGGGGGGCAAATTAGGTATACAAGGCTTGTTATATATATATATATTGTTGACTAATGTTGTGTGTAACTTGCCCATCAATTTGAATGAATTGTCTTTATTTTTGGATACTGTTTATAAAAGTATTTCCCTTAATTTAGACTATTGTTATTACTAAGATTATTATTATTCTTATTTTGATTTTTCCAATCCACCTATTTCTCAGCAGCTATAAGAGACAGAAGTCTGAAGTTTGCATTTCATTCGGGAAAGTTGTGTGTTATGAGTGCTTCTCTACCGATTTTTCTGATATTTACATTTTTGAATAGCTTTAGACATTTCTGAGCAGATAGCAGTTCAAAAATGTCGAATTTAGAAACTGTGTTGCTCTCATTTTTGTTGGTGAAAATTAGAAAATTTTCTAAATAATTTATTTTTTGGAATTTTAAATTCTGATTAAATTTTGGGGTAGCTGAGATCTCAATCAGATTCCAACAATATCAAGTTTTTTCAGAAATGTTAACTTTGATTTTTCACTTTTTTTCCCATTTTAGTCAAATTGTAGAGTTCTTATTTTTTTAAAACAAAGCCTAAGTTTTTCTGAAACTTCAGGAATATGAAGTCGAATGTCCAATCCAGTCCTTAAACCATAAATGAAAAAATTGAAAGAACGGAAGTAGTCCCAAAAAGTGACAAAATTCTGAAAAATGGATGCCTGTGCGGAAAATTGTATCAATTGTTTTTTTACCGAGTAGTTAAAGTTATATATCGTTTAATAGCCAATTGAATTGTCCATCAGATGGTACTAAAGCAGCAAATTTCTATTAAAGATTAAAAAATTTATGTGAACTTTGCAAAGTAAGGATTTTTATGATTTCAAGCAAGTTTAGGCGCCATTTTCTTGTAAAGTTCATAAATCTGGTCTGCCCTCTGTTTGCCCCCCCCCCCCCCCAATAATTTTGGAATATAAAAAAAAATTATTTGTGATACGTTTCGGTAATCAATACCTTCTACGGTGATTAAATCCCACATCCCCACTCAGTCATAGACTTGCATGTTGTAGAGTCTGAGTGATTTCTTACCAAGCCCATTCTGCTGTAAACCTACTATAAACAATAACACGTGAACCACTTGAGAAGTGCTTTTTACGATCCTCAAAGTTTTTGGGTATATAAGTTCAAAGCGGCGAGAATATGCATTCACTTGATACACTCACTCCTTTCGTTTGACATTTCCCTCTCTGTTCGGATAAGCTGGTGATTTGGCGACGAACAGTGTCTGGTCAGCTCTATTTCTGAAATACTGCCCGGCTGCGTTTCCTGCTGTCTATTTCACAAAATATCGTGGCGAAAATATTAATTCACTTATTCGCGCATATCGGACCGTAACTTCCTGAATTATGGCCCCTGATTGTACGAAAAATCGCATTTTTAGCTTGTGGACCCTATAGAGGTCATAATTTTTATCCGATTTAAAAAAACGTATTATTATATCACCGTTAAACCCTAGCATAAAAATATGGTATATCAAGGTTGTGGACCCTATAGAGGTCACAATTTTTATCCGATTTTGTTGAAACTTGAAATGTAAGTTTATAACCCAAAGATCTTGGTTCCTTTCGATATTCACGCATATCGGACCGTAACTTCCTGAATTATGGCCCCTGATTGTACGAAAAATCGTGTTTTTAGCTTGTGGACGCTATAGAGGTCATAATTTTTATCCGATTTAAAAAAAAAAACATATTATTATATAACAGTTACATCCTAAGGACGGTTGAGTTCGGATTTCGTGAAAATCGGCCCAAAACTGACAGACAAAATGGCCGCCGTTCGTTCTCAAATAGCGTAAAAATATGGGATATCAAGGTTGTGGACCCTATACAGGTCACAATTTTTATCCGATTTTGTTGAAACTTGAAATGTAAGTTTATAACCCAAAGATCTTGGTTCACTTTCAGTGCAAATGACCTCATTTGATCTTTGACCCCGAATATCTCAAAAAAAGCCCCAACGGCGGACTGATTTCCATTCTACGGAAAATTTTACTTTAGAAATGTTGTGTTTGGTTTTGTTCCCATTTGATGTGCTGTTTGTATTTCAGAGGAGAGCCAAAAAAAGCTTCCCTCAATCAACGAATTGAAAAAATCGCTTCCCTCAAAAAACTCTCCCAATTTTGATAAGAAGGGTGATTTAAAAATTAAGGAGAATGATCTGATATTAAACAAACATTATGCAAGAGCTAAATCTGCCTATTGCATGTCTTTCTTTAGGCCTGAAATGTTATCTAAATTATACTAAGAAGCAAAAGAAACGTCCGGTTGGTATGTTACTCTGAATAGACGCATTGCATAAAACTTGCCAGATGTTTTTATTGTATATTTGTGACTACATCTCCAACTTTACCTGAGCAATAAAGGCTCCTTCCTAAACACAGAATTGAACCCAGGAAATGTTCTTAAAAACGCAACCGGACTTCTGAGATG